CAGTCTGTCGGGGCATGATGCCAATTTTGTTAAACTTTATTTAATTTTATTTAATTTGGAGGTTAAGAAAAGATTTTATTTAATTGTGTGATCTTCCACGTTGCCAGCGGAAGAACAAATATGTGATGTGCTACATGGAGGTAGTGCAAATAGTAAAACAAAGTGGCTTGCTAGCGGGAAAGTGAAGCGATGATCATTTTTTCAATATAGTGTTCATTTACCTGACACTGTTTTTAGCTTGTCCCTGTCTGCTACAATCTATGTAATGCTAAGCTTCCATTCCAGCACTGCTTTTAAAGCAATAGAGGGACTGAGCTGACCAATATCTCTGTTGATTAATATACTTACAATCGACAAGTACCTCATACATCCCCTCTTCAAACATACACAACGATCCCTTTAAGGAAGACAGGTTGATCATGTCTTTTTGTCTTTTTCCCTTTGTCTTTTTTTAATAGCGTTTTGTGGTCCTGTAAGTTTGGTAACTAGTTTTGGGTGAAGTAGGCAGCTTTAAATCTTGATAATGGCTCAAGGATCGATGGGTGCTACTCATCCGGGGTGCAACTAGAGCAGGAACAAACAGCTTTCAAGATCAGAGTAATCCAGCGCAACATTAAAGTCATCAACGCGTTACTCATTGCGTGTTCTGCAGGTTTGCTCTTCACTTGATGAGCGTCAGGTGTTGGTTTATAAGACTTTTCTATGTCTACAGGTGGTGATAATAACAGGTCATGTGACAACTAAGGTCATCTTAATACATAAAATATCAACTTTCATATTATTTAATATGTCAGATGATTTTGAGTGTTTGGTTCATATAGATATTTGTTCGCTCCAAATGCGATGTTTTATATGTATTAAACTGTAAAGACAATTTTAGCAATCCTGGTGAGAGCTGGATTACTCTGATCTTGAAAGTTAACTTAGTGGCTCATTTGCTTTTACTGTTTACAAACACCTGTTTAGAAGATTTGATTTAAAGTGGTGTAACAAGACTGAGAGACATTTGTGTTCGACTCAAAGTACACGCTGACAAATTGATTACAAACACAAAATCGAATGTCTGTTTCTGTCATCCTGTCAAAGCTTGTGTCTACAAACATTATTGCCTCTCTTTCCAGTGACAAGATATTCAAATGAGAAAAAGAACTTGGAGCTAACTGAACAGGTAAAGACATGGTATTGTATTTATTCCACCAAGATTAAGTTTTAACAGCTTTTACAGATTGTTTAAAAGCACATATTCACACAAATGGCCTGTTTTAGCAATAACCCATTAAGATCCAATGTTAAGTGAAAAAACATGCATTTGAAAACATGTCACGTTTCCTCTCAATCCTTTATTAATTCTAAAAATATAATTAAAAAAGTACAAACTGTTCAGTCTATCAGTGTCTTCTATTCAATTCTATCAAAATTGTTAAGTTTTAACTGCAACAATGATTGTATTATGAAATGAGTGATAAACAAATGAAACTAATTAACTGTCATACTGTTTGATTGATGGGGTAACAGGTACAAAGAGGTAGGTACATATATATTGGGATATTAGCTTTGTTGTTATTCATAATCAAGACACGACTTAAGTAGCACAACTGGTGTTACTGTCCTCCTCTTCAACTGTGGGTCAGTAGTTCAGAGAAATGACTCAGCACTGACTGTGTCTCTTCTACTTTCTTGTCAAAGCTATGAATCAGAAAAGTCACCAAGGTGTGTCTTTCCAGAACCACCAGAGACGTCATTCAGGACTGTGCTAAGCCATTATGAGCAGGAAAAAATACCCTAATTTCATCAATCAAGGAACTGATTTTTTGTGTTGCTTGTTTGAATGTATCGATGTGTGTGTGCGCTTACACCATAAGGGTGTGTGGACACTGCTGTGGTTTCCTGAACCATTGTGTTCGTCTGATGACTCAGATTGAACTTTCACTCGTGGTGAGCATGAATCACGTCCCTGACCACAACCACATTACACACAATCAGGAAGAATCTATCACAATCCCTGTCATCGTCGTGTAGTGATGAGGACAAGAGACACAGATCCATCCAAGTCTACACAATACAGTACGCTGCTAAGCGTTTCCAGAGCAGGCGTACGACGCAAAAAAATCACACACGCACATCACAGTGTGAGTCATGAACTAAGGCTGTGACAGACAGTGGGCTGACAGACAGTGGTGGTCTGCAGTCTCCCTCCTCAATGAGACTCTAACACAAGCTGCATTCATCAATCACGTTTTTCAAACTTAAATCTAAATAAAGCCGGAATGAGGATGTTAGACAAACAATTTTATTTGGGTAACTTAAATTTGGCCTTTTTTCAAACATTGTCCTGGAGGTGGGATATCACATTGTCTTCGTAGCTTCAAGGAGCACAAAGAATATGCATTATAAGGAACCTATTACAGCAGTTTGTGCGGACAGTAGTAGAAGAAAATCAGTCAGATCTAAACCAGTTTGCTTGCCTGCTTTCATCCCTGCGACACCTGTTGGTTTGCCGTGACAACTGGTCTCATATCTGGCAATCTGAGGGGGGTCCAAAGCGACTGTGGGGGTTGCCTTAAAACCGCCTACTTCCTCTGGTCAAAACAAAAGCAAACCGTTCCGGACATATTGGCTGCATCATTGTTGTCAGAGAAGTCAACACTTCAACAAAGCATGTTTCCTTAATGTCTGATATATTACGGGAAATTTTATGAGTTAATTCAGTTGGTATCTTACATACTGCTCCTTTTATGCAACACACCAGATTCATTGACAACTGAAATTGGTGCATGCCACATGTTTTGGCCAATGTGCCGATGTCTATCGATAAGGCAAGCATCGTCTGTTGAATTTTTGGCAACAAAAAAAAAGATCAGTAGATTTTTTTTTTTTTATAGCACCAAATCACACCAAAATAAAATGACTCGAAGATACACAGTGCTCTTGAAATGTCATATTTGAACAATGTAATAAACTTATGTCCATCTGGTGCAACACCAACATAGAACCATACAAGGTAAAGCTGTGCAGCAACTCATTTAAGCTCACATGACACATTCTCCTCTCATTTATTCGTTACACTGCACAGGAACATCAGCCCTGGGGGAAAAGTGACATATACGCTGATAGAGAGGTCCTCTGTTGGCTGTCTACTGCTGTCTGGCTAGCATATGTCTGCAGCAGTGAAGACAGTACTGCCACACAGTGTCAGACAAAGTCATAGGCTTTTTCTGACTTGGCAGACACTAAAGCTGGAGTACAACACAGCAACAATGCAGTCCACATCAAAGTTTCTCTCTGATGGAATAAAGCTTTATGGGTCAATTGTACAGCAGAAAAAGATTGACCTCTTTCATAGTGCCCCTACCACTTCTATTCTTCCTCTCCTCAATCAAAAGCACGGATTGCTGTCACATTTTGGATGATCATGTGGCTGTCATTCATGTTTGTTGTGCAAGACAATCATATGATTCTCTTTAAGATCAAGGTGAGATGAGGATCAACAGTAAGATTAAATACAAAGGAGATGGAAATGAAGAAGTAAATGAGTGGGAGAGACTAAAGATCCCCTCTCAAATGTGTCTTCCTTTGTCCGCCCTTAATAATGAAAGGAAGAATACTCCGCAGGCAACCAAGGTCAGGCAGGTGAGGTGTTGATTGTACGGTAGGCCTGATTTTAATTACAGTGTGAACTTATAAACAAAAAGGTATTGCCATATAAACAAAGAGAATATTCAAACATCTACTGTAATATGGAAATGTTACATTGTTTCACTTGAGTTTCTGTCACTACATTCAAATGTTGAAGCCAAATACTGAACACTGTGAAATGCAGGGGTACAGCATCCACACAGAAAATTCCCTCTTTGAATAAAATCTTACTGCACTTACTCTTTTTTTTTTTTTTTTTTTTTTACAACTCTTTTTTTTTTTTTTTTGTACAACTGCTTTCTTTGCTGCAGTGCTCTCTGATTGGTTAAGCACATGTGTCAAATCACTCCAACGCTGTCACGATTAGGCGCGTGATTGGCTGGCGCTCGGACCCCACTCCACCCCCACCAATCACCCACCAATGCTGTGGCGTAGATGAGTGGGCAAGCAGATGTGTGCATCAGGTGGGACTGCGCTTGTAAAAGGGGGGGGGGGAGGAGGAGGAGGAGGAGGAGGAGAAAGTAGGGGCCATCCCAGGTAACAGAGAGGCAGAATGGGGACAGTGGAGCAAGTGGATGCCTTTCAGTAACCTTGATTTTCATTCAGTTAGTCAAGTGCAACCGATGGCTAAAAGATCTGTGCTTAGTTTGTGTTTGTGCTGTATTAAGCAAAATGTGTCGCGTAAATTTATACCAACAAGAATCATCAAAACGGTAAAACTAGGTCATATGAGGATAAAGTATTTTAAGGAAAAAGGGATTTTGAAAAGCTGTTCATTTAAGCTTACTCTGAGGGTTTATCTGCCTTATGATGATCACAGAACAGGGGTCATAGCACTCCATAATAGGAAGAGAGACATGTTTAAATCAAATCCACTTTTTTAAGATAAGTCAAAGTCATGGCCTCGCTGAAGTCTCAGTCATTCCTCTCATACTGAACATACTCTCTCCAGACCCACTTCAGGGCAGTACATCAAAGCTTTACAGTAGGCTGGCAGTGCACAGAGACACAGAGACCTCACAATGACACCGTGGTACGAAAAAAAAAAAAAAAAAAAAAATAGGTCATGCCAGTGCTGTGAGTCACTCTGCTGTACACTACTGACATAAATAGCGTCAACAACACTGAGAGAAAACAAAAACACAAAGATGCTCACTCACACAGACTCGTATAAAGGTGGCGGGGGTCTCAACAAACTGTCCCTTTGTCACATCACACCCAACCTGGCAGCAACAACTGCTAAAAATGGGAGTGGAGATTTGGGTTTTGGTGCTATCACACTGTGTATAGAGCACACACTGCAGTGGGTGTGACTTCCACCTGCAGGCCAGCTGCGGGAATTAATGCTCAAAGTCCCGACTTACCGGTTAGAACACGATGTCTTCTTTCCATGCCATACAAAATTTCATCCAGCCACCTAAGGGAGGCAAAAACAATAATGAATACAGCATCCGTGCAACACTAAGCTGGCCAGTTCATCAAACACTGCCTTACAACAACAATGCTCTATGGCTGACTATTTTTTGCTCTGGTGCTCCACATGCTTCAGAGCAGATATGAAGTCTAATATTTTTATCACAGCTAAGTGTGGCTGTTTAACAGATTGAGGTCAGGGTTTGGCTTGGCATGTTATGTAATCTGGTATATGGGCCAAAATAATAGTATTACATATGAGATTGCAGTTCAAACGGGAGTCACGCTGGTGAAAGGCAGGCTGGTGCAGACTGCGGCAGCTTCTGTGTTTTCAGGCTTGTTACAGAAAGATGTGCCCCAGAGAGTAGTCCGAGGCTTTTTCTTCTTGCCTTGTTTCATTTCTCCAAACCCATGAGTTTGAGCTCACCCCCCTTTTCTCACCCACACTCTGCTATTCTATTTCTTATATTGTGTTTTTTTTTTGTTTTTTTTTCAGATTTCCCGAAGTCGCCATCGTCGCACTTTGATGCCTCCACTTCCCCATTTAGTCTCACTGTGACAAACTGCCAGAGAAGCTAAAGGACAGAATAGTAGATAGACAGACAGACAGACAGACAAACAGATGGAAAAATGGAAAGATAGACAAACAGGCGGAAAGATGGACAGACAGACAGACGGACAGACAGACGGAAAGATGCAAGACAGAGAGACAGAGAGACAGACAGACAGACAGACAGACAGACAGACAGATAGATAGATAGATAGATAGATTTTGTTCATGTGTATGAGTAGGATCTCATTAAGGTCTTGTCAATCTGTCATTGCCACTTCTGTTTTTTTTTTCTCATCACTCTAGCAGGGTGGGATATCCGCATTGGTTGCTATGGCACCAGACAGCTCCTCGTTTCCTCAGACAACGGCTAACTGTGATTGTGTCTCTGTGAGCGCATGTGTGTCCATGCACATGCAATCTGTGTGTATGAGACTTGCACCCGTGTGTCAGGCCCCTTGTGTTTAATGTGATGCGGTGCAGCAGAGTGTTAATCACCAGTGTTTGGTTTACTTTTTCTTCACTGCAATCAGTGATTACATCCATTTAATGGGGTAACAGCTGGTATTCAACTTTTAGAGATAACAATAGAATTTCTATCAGTCCTGGGTTTCAGTCTGTCTGCATGTGTTCCTCATTACTCTGCGTGTGACTTAATAAAACCAACATCTTTTCTCAGTCCACCTGTCCTTTCTTCTATGTTTGCTCTCCAGCAGAGGGCAGTGTCTGCTTGACACTACAAATACTTTGCCTTTCCAAACTACAGTACATGTATGGGATGATTAGTTTAGTGACAAAATAACCTATTTTTTTTTAGGAAAATATAGAATGACCTTGCCTTTTCTTTAACTTGTGTTTTTTGCTGTTCATTTAAAATACTGACATAAAAGAGATAAGGAGCTGACAAGCTTACAAATGAAATGCATGTGTTTTCAATTAAAAGTCTATAAAGCTTTCGAAATTGTATTATTACAATTTGCAGGATTTGTTCACTCTGCAAGATGATCATTGAAGGAGAAGGCTGTAAGTTCCAAGAAAACTTCAAAAGACAAGGCTGTCGAAGCTACAAGAACTTACACCTCTGACAGCTGGGGGGGGGGGGGTTAAAGAAAGGGAGTACTTGAGCACTTGTCTGTCTTGATGTGTGCGTGTGTGTGGTATGTGTGTGCCTGTTCATGTTTGCGTATGTGCATGTATGTGAGGAAGCTGTTGTGTTGGTTGAGGGAGGTGTGTTTTTTCCCCCCCTGTGGGGCCTCAGGCTGGGATAGGGTGAGGCGGAGCTTTGGGGAGGCGCAGCATGGGACGGGCTGAACTCAATGCACTGTAACAGCACTCGGGGCAGGGGGGTCACAGAGTCCAGCATTCCTCCAGAACGCTGTGTGTTTACATGACTGACGCTGTGCCGGGGGGGAGGTGGCAGCGCTGCATAACTACACCATCAGATAACACTCATTGCTTGTATTTATGTTCATCATCTACCAGGGAGATAAGAATCCTTTATTCATTGTTTCAACTTCAAGTTTTTAACTTCATTTAACCCCTTCATGTACATAAATCTTGACAGTCACAGAGACATAATGGTAAAAGTAAAGAAACCGGATTCTTGCCTTCTTGTACAACCAGTCAAACCTTTTGTTTATCTAGTAATATAGGTATAGTGATAATCTGCTTTTCCCTTTCACTTTATGTCCATCATGCGCAGAGATACTGAAGAATCACATGTGATAACTGTATGGACTCAGTCTGATCTAAACATAGCAGTCAGCACCTGTAATGTAGCACATGTATGTAGAGGCTAAAGTGAGTAGTAGAAGACAACACTGTTGTAAAAAAAAATCAATGTAAATGTAATTTCAAAGCTTTTCTTGGATTCAACTTACTTTTGTTAGGGTGTTATGTAAATATATTGTTTTGTAAAACACGCACTATATGTGAAATGAAAAGTGTAAAAATTATTTTTCACCATGAGCCAAAGAAAACCCATGAAGTTGTGTTAAAATATTTGTGCTTAAAGGGCTTTTAAATAATCTCAATCATCCCATCTCATAAATTCAATGTTAAATATAGACTCAAGTTGACTTTATCTATCAAAATATATATTTTTTAAATTGCATACATTTGTAATTGAAATGTGTGCACAATGTTGGATGTAAAACTAGCAGTACCCACAGAGCAGCCAAAGTCAAAGTCCCAAGTCTACCTGAGTAGGACCAAGGGGCCAGACCAGAGCTGAGATTATCCAGGAAAGGTCAGACTAAAAAGGACCGGTTCAACCTCCTCTCAAGTGGCCAAGCTTATCAGGTTATTCATGCAGGAATAGCCTGGACTCAGCTGGGCTGGGCTGCTGGCCCCTTTTCTGGGCTAATCTGGTCTGAACTTTGACTGTAGCTCCTCTGTGCTGCTGCTCTCACATCCCAGAGCCTAGAAGCCAGCTGGTCAGCTCCAGGGCAGCACAGCAGAGATGTGGAGTGACACCCAAGCCCTGGAGAGACAGTGCTCTGACTGTACTGTGGATGAGGGAGGGGGGTGGTATGACCGTCAAAGGCTCCATTGTTTGACAGGCAAGCATGGTTTCACGTGCAGCGCATGATTCCCGCTGCAGGTCTGAACTGTGGTCCAGTCTGACCTAAACTGTCCGGGAGGATGTAGCTGTGGCCTCCCTGGGCAGGTTAAAGTGTAACTGTGTCCGTGTTTTCTCAGGAAAGTGTGTTTGTCTAGAGGACCAACATGGAGGCCCTTTTGTTTAACTAAGTAGTGAGGCTCGCCCTAAAAGTAAAGCTCTTTGAAACACACAGGAACCAGGTGGCCCATCTCTGTTCCATTTACTGCCAGTTAGGTACAGCTTGCATAAGTGCGAGTGATTGTTTACATTTGCGTGAAAAGCAGAATGCGCCTACGCAGACAATTGTATCTCTGTAAGATGATGAAGAAACATACGCTGAGATTTTTCATCCAACACATTCAGCTGACAGTTCAGTGCCAAAAACGAGAGGCACCTATCTTCTGCAGAGGGTGAAACAGCTGCAGCCAATTATGTCTAAATACTGTGAGAGGTAAATGATCAGGCACAATGTGGCCCTGTTCAGGGAAAATTCTGGTACTCTTCAATCTGCGACTTGTTGTCGGTAATTGTGACCATTGCGACTTCAGATCACAACTACTTCGTTTCACAGATTCAACATTTACAACTATTGTAAAATAACTCACATCCAAACTTACCAAATCCAATTTGTCAATGTTGATATTTGTACAAAAAAAAAAAGAAGTAATAGTACTAAAAGAAGATTAGTATTCATTATTATTGAAGAAAAAAAGAGGGACACAGTGAACAATAGAAGCAGAAGAAGAAAGGAAGTAAGGGTGTTGCAGTGTGAGAGGACATAAATGTGCTAAATGCTTCAATCAGTAGGTTTAAACACTCATAGTGGTTACAGTGACATTCAGCAGGGTTCATGTTGATCATGTTTAACATCCTCATTAACATGTTAGCATCTAAATTGACATTCTGTATCCATGCTGATACTAGATGAAAAATTAAGGGATCACCAGAGTTAATATGAGCCCCTTTCCCACATGCACACCAAATAGTTTCAGGAAGGAAAGGGGTTCTCGGGAGGAAAGGCCATGACATAAAAATGACTGCTGAAGTCAGAGTGAAATATTTGAAGTTATCCAAGATGGCAGACGAAGCAGCAGTGTCCAGTGCTATTGTGACAGTTGTTGCCTTTATATCAGTGCTACAGAAAAGAGTAGTCTGACATATTCAAAGTAAGAGCAAATAAGTGAAAAAGAACATACTGGCAAGCAGATAGAGTAAAAAAACAGTTTCATTATGTGAAAGGGTCTATAGTTTATTCTGAGGGGGGCTTGAATGCCTAAAGTATTTCTCCATGCCCCAAACTCATGACAGTACATTTAATATCTGATTAGATCTTTTGATAGAAAATGTTTGAACTTTGTTTTTAGCAATGCATCAGTGTAATGGTTAAACATCAGTATTGGCTGATATCTGCCCTGCTGACAAACATCACTGATGCTCTGATGGTATCGACAGAAATGTCCCAAAGAACAGCAACGTGATGAGAAGACATGAAAGTACAGACAGAGGCCAGGGTCTGTGCTGATACAGACACCACCACAATTCAACTGAGATATATCTTCAATCCTCCTAATTTAAGCATTTTGAAAATGTTAACAGTATTTCAAGTGAGTTGGTGTGCTAAGTGCTTTTTTTTTTCTGTACCAGCATTGTGTGCAGACTGGTAATTAAAAACAAGAATGTTTTGAATTTTGGGTTTCCAGAACTGATTTTTGTTGCCCTTGTACTGAAATATTGTTTAATTGTTACAAGATTACAATTCCCATCGTAATAAATTAAAATAGAAATTCTGAATTAAATAGCTTTGACTCAATAATACAGCAAAATGTATCCTGGTACGTATTGTATACATATC